AGAGAGAGAGAGAGAATGAGTGAGAAAGAGAGAAAGAGAACGATTTTACGGATTCAGATTATCGCATTCTGGAGTGGTGGGGCAGCTGTTGGGTCCAGTGAGTTGTTTTAAGTATCTTTCATTCGTCAGAGTATTTGAATTGTTGACTTATGTAAGTCCCAATCAAGATTTCTTCCGAATTTGAAATCTGCTGCTTAGAGAATTGCTGTGATAGTGAACACAGGACCTGTTTATCCGAGTAGATGTATATATACAGAGATCCGAGTTCTCACTCAAAATCTTTTTGTCGTAATCTGCTTTTTGTCCTTTTATTTTTTTTTATTCTTTTTTATTCTTTTTTTTTTTTTTTAATTCTGGATAACGGTCGCAATATTAGAGTTCGTCATTGCCATCGATATTGCCAATCGATTTTTCGGTAATCTTATTAAGAGTCGTCTCGTAGTTAATTTCAAATCATCTACCGGGTGTTGTACAGCAAGAGTACCTTGTGCCCCTTAGGTGAAGATTAATTTATTGAATTGTACATACTTTTATATTTTCGTAGCAAAACAAATGAATAAAATATAATGTGCTGATTGCCATTGCTCAATCAAAGAAAGAAAAACAATAAATATTTTGTATATAACGTCTTTGATAACAAAAAAAAACATGGCCTTGTTATTCCGATACGCCAGTAGCTCCCAATTACGACGAAGTATACACGTGTATAATATATGCAACTATATTCCTAGGCATCTCTACAGAGACATGTACATAACACGATTTAAAGTATTCGTGTTTTATTATTGATCGATCTTTAATTATTTATGATATATATATATATAGTTATACAAGATTAGCTTGCTTTTTTTCTTGAATTTGACATAGCCGATTAACTCAAACGATTCATGATTCTATATTTATTTGCGGTATATATTAATTTTATTCTGCACGAGGAGATTCAGGGTAATCTCTTCGAAACGAAAGAATAAATGATTATGAAGCGAAAAGTTTAGTGTACACACGCTTTCGCTGAATGATACACACTACACATGACAGACAACTTGGTTCCTGTGTTCACGTACGCATGTATTGCACGGCGCAGCGATGGAAGACACGTGCTTGCGCTCAAACTGAGTGACAAGTGCAAGGTACTGTTCATAATTACTTTCACATACCATTAATTGAGGAATGTGACACTAAGATGGTTTTAAGACAGCAACTATTTGGCCGTCACGTCGGCCCGCACCACTCCAGGACGAAAAGCCCGTCGATACATATACTACTCATTTGATTGATTACTGCGTATCTTTAACGATTAGAATAATTGCTTATATGGCTAAGATATGGAATTGTATTAACAAACGACTTCCAGAGTTGAGATGCCCAATCGTTGGTCTTGTCAACTGAACCGATTCTTTGATTTTGAAACGTAACATTAGACGTTCACTTTTGCGCCTTTTACGATAAATAAAAAACTGGATTGTTAAGGAGATAATCGCGATAGATCTTCTAGCGAGCCGTTGAGAGATGAGAGATGGAATATCATTTCAACGCGCGAGTAACGACACGTTTGATGTTTGAGATATTTTCTCGTTAGAACATGCATGTAATACCTTTGTCTTTGCTTTGAGCTTACTTTATTATAAGTTTTGTTTCACAATCGTATATTCATATCTACGAGTTCCATGAACAAAAACTGTATTTATAAGAGCGTATAACTGAATACAAATACAAGTTGACGAAATGTTCTTTAATTTTTCATTAATAGCATGCTGATGCTTATCGCAATTTTCAATAAGCAATGTTGATATTTCGTTAGCAGGTTTTGTGATGTCCTAGTACATAAATTGTAACACGTTGTAAAAATTACAAATTCTGTAAGATATATTATGCAAACAACGTATAGGATATTTAGTTACATGTATATCACGTATATTTGTTTTCTCGATTATAAACTTATTACACCGTTCATAAGTCATAAAGTATTTCTCAAGTACATAAATGAAGAATTTTTGGGACAATTTTGTTTTTACTTATTTAATCTGTAGTTCTTCACATTTGGTCTCTTCAATGCGTGCAATATGTTAAAGACGTGTTAATCACAAATCTCAACGGTATGTAATCGAAAAACGAGCAAACCTGGAGTGGTGCGTGGCACTACATTCTAGGGCTTCATATTAAAACGGAGTAATGTTGCAAATTTTAAGAGATAAATTGTTTCCTCATGTTCAATATTAGATTTCCATTTTTTGGATAATAATTTTAGTATTTCAAAAAGTATTTATATATGGAGTTTCTTTGCAATATTATAACTGCCATTTTATTAAAATTCAGCCGCTTAAACTCTTTATTCTCATAATATATGCCTGTTTAAAGTAGTAAGTTGACAAGGAATTAGCATGCATTCACATCGATTACTAACATTGTTATATCTAGGATTTTTAATATAATGATGTATGAGTATATATACATATATATAAACATATTGCATATGTTCTTATTCAATTTCTCATTTACTTTAACATATATTAAATTGGAAACATCTATTGGATAATACATCAATAATTTTTTTCTCCAAAGGATATCAAATTGTTTCAGAAATTTCATGAAATTTCACTAGTTCGAAAATAATCTAATATTTCTCAATCTTTGTGCTTTGCTAATCGATAATTATGTTAATTCAATTTCAGGCAATTAATTTGAATATAAACATGAGATAACTGAGCATTGATTTGAATATAAATTAAGTCAAAAGTTTATTAAATTGTTTTAAAAATTTCATGAAATTTTACTCATTCGAAAGTAATTTTTGATATTTCTCAATTTTTCTTCGCTTATTGATAATTATGTTAATTCAATTTCAGGCAATTAATTTGAATATGAACATGAGATAATTGAACATTGATTTGCATACAAATTAACTCAAAAGTTATTAAAATGTTTTAATTGCAGGTTTGTTTGTGAAATTATATTATTCAATATTTCATTTCTATTAAATTTTTTCCTAGATTATCTTGTATAATATAATGCTGTATATAAGCAGTACGGAACTGCAGATCTAGGATCTAATAGGTAAGTAATTTACAATTACTTTTGTAATATTGCACAAAAAATTAGTGAGAGAAATCTATATATTGTAAATGCTAAAAATTTACTTTCAAGCTATTACATCGGTGATTGCTGTGTCAAACGCTCCAGAGTATGAAAGTTTGCGAAAATAATTTACAATTATTTTCACAAACAAAATGGTATAATAAAAATGAAACACGAAGTGCGTCAAATTCAATGATATCGATGTGTCTTTATTTTCATTTTTAAGTATTGCAAGATGATTGTTGAAACATTGCTTCTTTATTTTAGCATTATTAAAGGTTAAGTTTATTTACTTTAAATAATTGCGATAATAATAGTAGATTCATGTCACTAAAGGAGATAATGTATCTGGTTGAAAGAGTACTTTTAGAAAAGATGTTACAAATCATGTGAGTGATTCACTATATCCAATAATCTTTTTGGTATACCCACAGATTGAAAAATACGTAATAAAGCTAAAATCGAGCTTATGTTAGATATAAAATTACACACATACACATACCCACAGCTAACAGACGTGTATATTATAAACGAACCAGCTGCAATATTTATACTACATTATCTTAGGAATCATAGGTTTTTATTTTTATAACTAATGTGATCAAAATTCATACTAATCGCTCTATATTTTTTATCTCTGACCATACATCTCTAATACCACAATTAGCGTTAAATGTAAAAACAAAGAAAATGTTTGTATTAATGTAAACATCACCGTTTGCTGTACAGCATGCAGATAACTAGATTGATATATGTAAATTGCATAAAGAATAATAATAGTCGCTATAGAAGCAGTGAGACCAGATACATTATTCTCCTCTGCATTGTCACAATGTGAATAATTGTATTATGCCAGAGAATTAGGAAAACAGTACGTCTTCTACAATATGTATTTAGCAATATTATAAAAAAAAACTGTAATGCCTATTAACACTATAATAAATATGTGAATTATTTAGAAGTGTGATACATTTTTGTATATTTTCAATGTTCTAAAAGAGCTGTACAGTGTAATATTAACTTCGAAATTCACATTTTACGTTTATTATATCCAATAGTACTTTTACATGTATCTTAAAGTATATCCATACACACACACGCGCGCATAATAAACAACATACCTACTGATAAATGTTGTAAGACGCACAAGATATGACAGTTATTTAATTTAAAAATTAAATATCTTGGACATATTTAAATGGAATAAATCTCTATAAAAATACATAAAATATTTTATAAAATATTATATGTTTACAGAAAGAATTATCGGAGTATATAAATGATATTGGAAAAATGTTTATATATACAGATATCGACAGTTTGTCTGCATTGCAGAAAAAAGTTGAAACAGTATAAATGCAAGAATATGGTAATATCTATAAAAAACGTTAAATGACAGTAATATGTTATTAGAAATCCTTATCTTATTCAGAGTATGTATTTATTTATGTATTATAAAAAGTGAATATCAAGTTAAAAATAATATTGAATTGTATTGTATTATGTATCAACCATTACAGGAAGCATTATTTAAGTTTGTATTTTAAATTCGCTTCACAAACAGCGAATAATTTAAAAAGAAAGAATAACACAAAGGCAAAAAATTATATGTAACATAATTTAAACAATTGATGTGATATTGATCAATTCAAGGCTTTATCTTTTACGCCTGAAAACAAATTATGATAATCGTTTAAAATAACATTTCTTCATTTGTTTTTATCTATTGCTTCCAATCTTTGAATGACAGGTGGATGTGAGTGATGCCAACTGGAGTACAATTTGTCAAACAAGGGATATCCCAAATTGTCCTTCTGTAATTTTAGCAGAGCGGCCTTCAAAGACTCACCATGGCCTAATTTTGTGGCAAACTCATCTGCTTGAAACTCAAATCTTCGACTGATTACCACACTAATAAAACTAAAAATCTGAAAATAATAAAGAATTTTGTATAGACATTCTCTTATAAATTATATTTTCTCATAAAAAATAAGTAGAGAAAAAATTTAATGAATATTGTACTTACTGCATACAATGGTATTAAAATATACATTGTTACTATAATCAGGCCAATAAAGATGGGTTGAGAGTCCACAAAACCAAAAGCACTATACATTGGTTCATATCGCAAGAGTTTTGCAAATATTACAAAACTGGCCACAAAAATTATCTAAAAAAAAAAATATATATATATATATATACACATATACTTGTGTCACAGAAATTTTACATTAATATCCAATATAGCAATAAGATTCTTAAAGAAACAAAATTGGATGATATAAATGTAAAGCATAGATCAGTGAATATTTTACACAATTATACCTGGCTAAACAGAAATCCTTTCAAAGTATGATTATGTTTCCAATGACCTAATTCGTGTGCAAGTACCGCCAATATTTCTTTCGTTTCACAACCACAGTCTTTGCTAGCATCATTGTCATCTTTTTTGCAATAACCCTTAATAAGCGTATCAAAGAGGACAATTCTCTTGTATTTGTAAAAACCATACAAATAGGCGTTGCTGTGCGATGATCGTTTAGAACTTTCAACTACAAATAACTTGTACAAAGGAAACTTTAAAGAAGCTGCCAATTCTTCGATTTTTTGTTTTAATTCGCCTTCTGGCAATGGTGAATATTTGTCGAACAATGGCGCAATTACTTCTGGATATAGGATCATCATGAATAATGAGACCACTACTAACAATATCCATAAGTACCAGAAAAAGTAATCGCCACCAATTTTCACGACCCAAATCATACCACATAGAAGAGGTAGCGCAATAACTTGCGACACTGCAAACTTTTTAATCTCGTCTTTAATAAAAAATGTAGCTGTCTGAAAACAGATATCAATATTTATTAAATTTGTTAATACATTTTTTTCATATCAAATAATAATTAGCAAACAGGCGTTAAAGGTAAACTGAAAAAAAAAATGTTAAGAATAAGGAACTTTACCTGTTTATTAAAGCCATGTTTTTCCTCCAAGACAAAAGTATCATATATTATTAATGGCAGATTAATAATATGAGAAAGTACGTTTATAATAAACATACATATTGCGCTTAGCAGTATATCATTCTCATGATTAATACCACAAAGTTTTGCTATTTCAATACTCCATTGCCAAGCATGATAATAACCATAAGTTACCAAGATAATCTGTAAAAATATAATATTATGTAATATAATAGATAATAGCCATTACAAATTTCTTTTCATTTCATTGAGTTTACATATACAATTTTCTTTTCATGATACTTACTGTATTAAAAACCTTAGAATATATGCCCTGTACAATACCAAAGCTATTTCTATCTAAAGCATATGAACGAGCCTTATCATATACATCTTTAGTCATTAATCCTTCAACTGATTTTGGCAAATCAACCAACCGCTGCATCAATGCTCTCTATAATATTTAGAAAATTTATAAATAAAAAAATAACTGGCAATTAATTAGATCACGTTAAATATAAATATATTATTTTAATTTTCAAATTATATGTATATAATTTGATCTTGCATAATAAACAAATAAAATATGTAAAAGCTTATCAGGATAGAAGAGGTTAGGACAAGTGACTTACTTGACGCAAAGTTAAGTAATGATCCCAAAAGTATAATAACCATATTGCCAACAAAATCGCTCCGAGAATATGTTTCTCGATAAAAGCTACAAGTAGTTCCATTACGACAATATATTAATAAAATTTTCTCATTACCACTATCCGTCTCGAATAGTTCAAATGGCACGGAAGATGATCATACCAGAGAGAAGACTGAGAGTGGACATTTTACGTGTTTCTGTGAGCTAGCGCCTCTATGTGCACAAAACGTGCACATTGAACTACGTAGCCAATGTCCACGAATCCCGTAGGTAATGTCCACGATCTTTTGGGTCTCTTCCGTACTACGTCCACGACTTTTTGGTTTCGATATGTGCTATATCTACAAGTGTCGGTAATGCGTACTTGTAAAACATGATTATGTATATCAGAGCTCGGCGTTAGTTGCACATTTCAGCTCGATTCTTGAGACGACGTCTTCCGCTGTCCCACTATCGCGCGGCCGTTGGCGGCCGAACCGCCGATAGCCTTGAGTCAGGAGCGTCTGTGTAACGAATAGGCTGATGATGAGCGGGCATCTTTCAGAAAATAAAATTTTCTTTGTTATAGAAATAATATTTATTGTTACTAATTATAATTAAATATCTTTATTACATTTATTAAAATAATTTACGTAGACAATAATATATAATATTTAAAAAATAAAAATAATTAAAATAAATCAAATTATTAAAAAATTAC